AATGGCTCCTGCTGGAGTCGGGATTTGGGGAGCATTCTTGAGGTCTGTAATGGGCTCAATCTTGAGGTCTGTAATGGGCTCAATACACGGCTGCTGCACGTCAAGGCACTGCTGTACGGCTGCACGTCAAGGCACTGCTGTACCGCTGCACGTCAAGGCACTGCTGTACCGCTGCACGTCACACCTGCACACTCAACCTGTGTGCTCGAGGCGTTGGGGACACTCACATGGGGGGGGGGAGGGGTGTGCTGTAGGCGGCGTACTTTGATTTCTCTTCCCCAAGAACACGGGACTCGGTAATCATGGAACGTTGCTCGTAAGTAATCTATATGGATCATTACGGCGGTGGTAACTCACACAGCTACACACCAACACCCACACATCCACCACCACCAACAACACTGGACCAAAGAGCCAGAGCTCAACCCCCGCAAGCACAATTAGGTGAGTACAATTAGGTGAGTACACCCACCACCACCAACACAAACACACCAACACACCCACACACCAACACCCACTCACCCACACACCAACACACCCACACACCAACACCCACTCACCCACACACCAACACACCCACACACCAACACCCACTCACCAACACCCACTCACCCACACACCAACACACCAAAACCAACACGCACACACACACCCACCAACACCCACACACCCACCAACACCAACACCTACACCTACACACCCACACAGTACCCCATAAGAGGCTGGTACATAAGCTGGAGAGACAGGCAGGTGTAGCTGGTAAGGTGCTCCAGTGGATAAGGGAGTATCTAAGCAATAGGAAGCAGAGAGTTACGGTGAGGGGTGAGACCTCCGATTGGCGTGAAGTCACCAGTGGAGTCCCACAGGGCTCTGTACTCGGTCCTATCTTGTTTCTGATATATGTAAATGATCTCCCGGAGGGTATAGATTCATTTCTCTCAATGTTTGTGGACGATGCCAAAATTATGAGAAGGATTAAGACAGAAGAGGACAGCTTGAGGCTTCAAGAAGTCCTAGACTAGCTGAAGGAATGGTCAAACAAATGGTTGTTAGAGTTTAACCCAAGCATATGTAATGTAATGAAGATAGGTGTAGGCAGCAGGAGGCCAGATACAAGGTATCACCTGGGAGATGAAATACTTCAAGAGTCAGAGAAAGAAAAAGACTTGGGAGTTGATATCACGCCAGACCTGTCTCCTGCAGCACATATCAAGAGGATAACATCAGCGGCATATGCCAGGCTGGCCAACATACGAACGGCATTCAGAAACTTGTGTAAAGAATCATTCAGAACTTTGTATACCACATATGTCAGGCCAATCCTGAAGTATGCAGCCCCAGCATGGAGTCCATATCTAGTGAAGGATAAGACTAAACTGGAAAAGGTTCAAATGTTTGCCACCAGACTAGTACCCGAGCTGAGAGGTATGAGCTACGAGGAGAGAATACGGGAATTAAACCTCACTTCGCTGGAAGACAGAAGAGTTAGGGGGACATGATCACCACATTCAAGATGCTCAAGGGAATTGATAGGGTAGATAAAGACAGTCTATTTAACACAAGGGGCACACGCACTAGGTGACACAGGTGGAAACTGAGTGCCCAAATGAGCCACAGAGATATTAGAAAACACTTTTTTAATATCAGAGTGGTTGACAAATGGAATGCATTAGGCAGTGATGTGGTGGAGGCTGACTCCATACACAGTTTCAAGTGTAGATATGATAGAGCCCAGTAGGCTCAGGAACCTGTACACCAGTTGATTGACGGTTGAGAGGCGGGACCAAAGAGCCAGAGCTCAACCCCTGCAAACAAAATTAGGTGAGTACACACCAACACCCACACCCACACACCCACCACCACCAACACCCACACACCCACCACCACCACGACCACCAACACCCACCACCACCACGACCACCAACACCCACCACCACCACACACCAACACCCACCTCCACCACGACCACCAACACCCACCACCACCACACACCAACACCCACCACCACCCACCACCACCACGACCACCAACACCCACCACCACCACGACCACCAACACCCACCACCACCACACACCAACACCCACCACCACCCACCACCACCACGACCACCAACACCCACCACCACCACGACCACCAACACCCCCCACCACCACACACCAACACCCACCACCACCACACACCAACATCCACCTCCACCACGACCACCAACACCCACCACCACCACACACCAACACCCACCACCACCCACCACCACCACGACCACCAACACCCACCACCACCACGACCACCAACACCCACCACCACCACACACCAACACCCACCACCACCAACACCCACCACCACCACGACCACCAACACCCACCACCACCACACACCAACACCCACCACCACCACGACCACCAACACCCACACACCAACCACCACCACACACCAACACCCACCACCACCAACACCCACCACCACCACCAACACACACACACACACCATCACAACACCCACCACCACACACCAACACCCACCTCCACACCACCACCACCCACACAGCAACCCCCACACACTCACCAACACCCACACACCAACACCCACCACCACCAACACCCACCCACACACTCACCAACACCCACATACCAACACCCACCACCACCACCACCCACACACACACCACCAACACCCACCACCACCAACACACCAACACCCACCACCACCACACACCAACACCCACCACCACCAACACCCACCTCCACACCACCACCACCACCCACACAGCAACCCCCACACACTCACCAACACCCACACACCAACACCCACCACCACCAACACCCACCCACACACTCACCAACACCCACACACACACACACACACCCACCACCAACCCCCACACACCACCACCCACCAATGTTTACAATGCTCTCAGCACTTAACCTTCAAGTCGTTGCCCTTCACTCTCTTCACCAGCTCGCACCGAAGATGAAAAACCCCTCTCTGCTCACAAGGACCAGAACGCCGAAACAAACACGCGTATAAATCTGGCTACGGAGCTCCGAGGTCGTTCCCCAACCATGGTGGCGCTTCCCATCAACTTATGACTCTGCCTTTCTCGCTTTAGCCATTTCTGGAGAACCATATTTCCCTCCCGAGTGGCCCAGACAATCCCCCTTCCCAAACAAAGAGGATGAGCTATGCCACCTCGGGAAGAATTATGTTTAATATTTATACTTGCTGGTTTGGTTCTTGCGGAGACTGTGCATCCTGGCAGAGCGGCTCATGTCATGAATTGTGCACAAGAGTTCATGCTGGGTATAGTCGCCTGTATCCGAGGATACAGGCGTGTGTAATATGCTATATGATGTTGTGTGAGTGTTGTGAGAGCGTTGTATGAACGTTGCAAAGGCGTTGTGTGTATGTTGTGACAGCGTTGTATGAATGTTTTGACAGCGTTGTGTGTATGTTGTGACAGCGTTGTATGAATGTTTTGACAGCGTTGTGTGTATGTTGTGACAGCGTTGTATGAATGTTGTGGTAGCGTTGTATGCATGTTGTGGCAGCGTTGTATGAATGTTGTGGTAGCGTTGTATTAATGTTGTGACAGCGTTGTATGAATGTTGTGACAGCGTTGTATGAATGTTGTGGCAGCGTTGTATGAATGTTGTGGTAGCGTTGTATGAATGTTGTGGTAGCGTTGTATGAATGTTGTGACAGCGTTGTATGAATGTTGTGGTAGCGTTGTATGAATGTTGTGGTAGCGTTGTATGAATGTTGTGGCAGCGTTGTATGAATGTTGTGGTAGCATTGTATGAATGTTGTGGTAGCGTTGTATGAATGTTGTGACAGCGTTGTATGAATGTTGTGGCAGCGTTGTATTAATGTTGTGACACCGTTGTATAAATGTTGTGGCAGCGTTGTATTAATGTTGTGACAGCGTTGTATGAATGTTGTGGCAGCGTTGTATGAATGTTATGACAGCGTTGTATGGAAGTTGTGACAGCGTTGTATGGATGTTGTGGCAGCGTTGTATGAATGTTGTGACAGCGTTGTATTAATGTTGTGACAGCGTTGTATGAATGTTGTGGCAGCGTTGTATTAATGTTGTGACAGCGTTGTATTAATGTTGTGACAGCGTTGTATGAATGTTGTGACAGCGTTGTATGAATGTTGTGACAACGTTATATGAATGCTGTCACAACATTCAGACAACGTCACAATATTGTGACAGCGTTGTATTAATGTTGTGACAGCGTTGTATGAATGTTTTATCATCGTTGCTTAATTGCAAAAATGTCGTTGTGGTTATGTTGTGTGCCTATATGGTTTAGACCTTTTCAAGTTTAATTTCATGTTTAATGAGATTAAAACTCCACGCTGGCAACCACTTTGGGTGGACGACGGTCTCGCTTCACACAGGTCGGAGTTCAATCCCCAACTGTGTAAGTAGTTGGGCACCATTCCCCCCCCCCCCTTCCCCGTCCCACCCCAAATCCTTATCCTGAGCCCATTCCGTGTGCTATATAGTCGTAATGGCTTGGAGCTATCTCCTGAGGGTGTCTTTTTCTTCCCTTTCCATGCTGGCACTACATAATGCAGTATTGGTCTGACATTCGTGGTTGACAGGGATCTGAATAACACCTCGTTCACATTTCAAATGATAGTTCATTTGTTAGTTCAAAGGATAGTATCATTTTCATTTTGTCTTCAGGTGAGATGAAATATGGCAACCCACACCAGCTTTTTTCTCTCTCCAATTGAACAAGGTTTTCTTCTCCGCTTTGGTATCTTGTTTTGCTTTTTCTGTTTTCACTACGAACCTTTACAACACTTCCCTTGATTGAACTGAGTAGACATTTACTCAGTTACTGTTGCAGAGATGGGTATCCTGTAACTTCTTGCAGTATTTCGTCTATATCTCTTTTCTTAATTTAGTTTACTTTTGGTGAATGTGTGTAATTTGTGTTTGGTGTGTATTTTATTGCGTGCATGAGTATGTTCGTGTATGTGAAGGCGTTCATTCATGAGCATACTTGTGTGGTGTGTGTATTGTGTATATGTCGGTATTTTGTAGAAAACGCTCCAGGGGGCGTATGTTGTACAGTGATGCTCTCTGAACTGTTGCTGCACATTGATGCTCCCTGAACTGTTGCTGCACATTGATGCTCTCTGAACTGTTGCTGCACATTGATGCTCTCTGAACTGTTGCTGCACATTGATGCTCTCTGAACTGTTGCTGCACATTGATGCTCTCTGAACTGTTGCTGCACATTGATGCTCTCTGAACTGTTGCTGCACATTGATGCTCTCTGAACTGTTGCTGCACATTGATGCTCTCTGAACTGTTGCTGCACATTGATGCTCTCTGAACTGTTGCTGTACATTGATGCTCTCTGAACTGTTGCTGCACATTGATGCTCTCTGAACTGTTGCTGTACATTGATGCTCTCTGAACTGTTGCTGCACATTGATGCTCTCTGAACTGTTGCTGCACATTGATGCTCTCTGAACTGTTGCTGCACATTGATGCTCTCTGAACTGTTGCTGCACATTGATGCTCCCTGAACTGTTGCTGCACATTGATGCTCCCTGAACTGTTGCTGCACATTGATGCTCTCTGAACTGTTGCTGCACATTGATGCTCTCTGAACTGTTCCTGTACATTGATGCTCTCTGAACTGTTGCTGCACATTGATGCTCCCTGAACTGTTGCTGCACATTGATGCTCCCTGAACTGTTGCTGCACATTGATGCTCCCTGAACTGTTGCTGCACATTGATGCTCTCTGAACTGTTGCTGTACATTGATGCTCTCTGAACTGTTGCTTCATACCCACTGTAGCCTCATACTGTAACCTCATACTCACTGTAACCTCATACCCACTGTAGCCTCATACCCACTGTAGCCTCATACTGTAACCTCATACTCACTGTAGCCTCATACCCACTGTAGCCTCATACCCACTGTAGCCTCATACCCACTGTAGCCTCATACCCACTGTAGCCTTATACCCACTGTAGCCTCATACCCACTGTAGCCTCATACCCACTGTAACCTCATACTCACTGTAGCCTCATACCCACTGTAGCCTCATACCCACTGTAGCCTCATACCCACTGTAGCCTCATACCCACTGTAGCATCATACCCACTGTAGCCTCATACCCACTGTAGCCTCATACCCACTGTAGCCTCATACCCACTGTAGCCTCATACCCACTGTAGCATCATACCCACTGTAGCATCATACCCACTGTAGCCTCATACCCACTGTAACCTCATACTCACTGTAGCCTCATACCCACTGTAGCCTCATACCCACTGTAACCTCATACCCACTGTAGCATCATACCCACTGTAACCTCATACCCACTGCAGCCTCATACCCACTGTAGCCTCATACCCACTGTAACCTCATACTCACTGTAGCCTCATACCCACTGTAGCCTCTGTAGCCTCATACCCACTGTAGCCTCATACCCACTGTAGCCTCATACCCACTGTAGCCTCATACCCACTGTAGCCTCATACCCACTGTAGCATCATACCCACTGTAGCCTCATACCCACTGTAACCTCATACTCACTGTAGCCTCATACCCACTGTAGCCTCATACCCACTGTAACCTCATACCCACTGTAGCATCATACCCACTGTAACCTCATACCCACTGTAGCCTCATACCCACTGTAGCCTCATACCCACTGTAACCTTATACTCACTGTAGCCTCATACCCACTGTAGCCTCATACCCACTGTAGCCTCATACCCACTGTAGCCTCATACCCACTGTAGCATCATACCCACTGTAGCCTCATACCCACTGTAGCCTCATACCCACTGTAGCCTCATACCCACTGTAGCCTCATACCCACTGTAGCATCATACCCACTGTAGCCTCATACCCACTGTAGCCTCATACCCACTGTAGCCTCATACCCACTGTAGCCTCATACCCACTGTAGCCTCATACCCACTGTAGCATCATACCCACTGTAGCCTCATACCCACTGTAGCATCATACCCACTGTAGCCTCATATGATCACTTGGGTGCTCACATATAACTCAGCCGTGGCACACATTGAACTTAACACCATCGGCACAACAACATTTAAAATGAACCAAACATTTACTGAGAAAAATGTAGAATATAAATGCTAACAAGCCTCTACCTTGCCTCATTAAGTTTTAATGTAAACTGTATCACTCCCAACCTTCAGTAAGTCGATGTTTACTTTACTTTACAAGACGGGCTCGCCATAGCCCGTGCTACTTGGAACTTTTTGTTCCAGGAAGTGAATTTTTAACAATAAACATATATACTTTAGAATATAATGTCTCGGTAACCTTCAAATATCAGTGTCTGACCTCTTGTACTCGTTCAATTCACTGTATACCTGCAGAATATGAAGTCATATGTATATGTATATGTATGTATGAATATTTATTTTGTTATGAACAAAAGAGTTTCCTTGCATCATTAAAGATTTTTTTTATCGTTTTAAGTTTGTTGGGGTGAAGGTGATGGTGAAGGTGAGGGTGAAGGTGATGGTGAAGGTGAGGGTGAAGGTGATGGTGAAGGTGAGGGTGAAGGTGATGGTGAAGGTGAGGGTGAAGGTGATGGTGAAGGTGAGGGTGAAGGTGATGGTGAAGGTGAGGGTGAAGGTGATGGTGATGGTGAAGGTGAAGGTGATGGTGAAGGTGATGGTGAAGGTGATGGTGAAGGTGAGGGTGATGGTGAAGGTGATGGTGAAGGTGATGGTGAAGGTGATGGTGAAGGTGAAGGTGATGGTGAAGGTGAGGGTGAAGGTGATGGTGAAGGTGATGGTGAAGGTGAAGGTGCTGGTGAAGGTGATGGTGAAGGTGAGGGTGAAGGTGATGGTGAAGGTCAGGGTGAAGGTGAGGGTGAAGGTGAGGGTGAAGGTGATGGTGATGGTGAAGGTGAAGGTAATGGTGAAGGTGAGGGTGAAGGTGATGGTGAAGGTGATGGTGAAGGTGATGGTGAAGGTGATGGTGAAGGTGATGGTGAAGGTGATGGTGAAGGTGATGGTGAAGGTGAAGGTGATGGTGATGGTGAAGGTGAGGGTGAAAGTGATAATGAAGGTGATGGTGAAGGTGATGGTGAAGGTGATGGTGATGGTGAAGGTGATGGTGATGGTGAAGGTGATGGTGATGGTGAAGGTGATGGTGATGGTGAAGGTGAGGGTGAAGGTGATGGTGAAGGTGATGGTGATGGTGAGGGTGAAGGTGATGGTGAAGGTGATGGTGAAGGTGATGGTGAAGGTGATGGTGGAGGTGAGGGTGAAGGTGATGGTGAAGGTGAGGGTGAAGGTGATGGTGAAGGTGATGGTGAAGGTGATGGTGAAGGTGAGGGTGAAGGTGATGGTGAAGGTGATGGTGATGGTTATGGTGAAGGTGATGGTGATAGTGAGGGTGAAGGTGATGGTGAAGGTGATGGTGATGGTGAAGGTGAGGGTGAAAGTGATAATGAAGGTGATGGTGAAGGTGATGGTGAAGGTGAGGGTGAAGGTGAGGGTGACGGTGATGGTGAAGGTGAGGGTGACGGTGATGGTGAAGGTGAGGGTGAAGGTGAGGGTGAAGGTGAGGGTGAAGGTGAGGGTGACGGTGAGGGTGACGGTGAGGGTGAAGGTGATGGTGAAGGTGAGGGTGAAGGTGAGGGTGAAGGTGAGGGTGAGGTGAGGGTGAAGGTAAGGGTGAAGGTGAGGGTGACGGTGAGGGTGAGGTGATGGTGAAGGTGATGGTGATGGTGATGGTGAAGGTGATGGTGAAGGTGAGGGTGACGGTGATGGTGAAGGTGAGGGTGAAGGTGATGGTGAAGGTGAGGGTGAAGGTGAGGGTGACGGTGATGGTGAAGGTGAGGGTGACGGTGATGGTGAAGGTGATGGTGAAGGTGATGGTGAAGGTGAGGGTGACGGTGATGGTGAAGGTGAGGGTGAAGGTGAGGGTGACGGTGATGGTGAAGGTGATGGTGAAGGTGATGGTGAAGGTGATGGTGAAGGTGAGGGTGACGGTGATGGTGAAGGTGAGGGTGACGGTGATGGTGAAGGTGAGGGTGAAGGTGATGGTGAAGGTGATGGTGAAGGTGAGGGTGAAGGTGAGGGTGACGGTGATGGTGAAGGTGATGGTGAAGAAGGTGAGGGGGGGGGCAGGCCTCATCATCCTGGGGGGTCTCTGGGGCTCATCAGCGAGAAGAACAAAGAACATGAACGAGAAGAACAAAGAACATGAACGAGAAGAACAAAGAACATGAACGACAAAGAACATGAACGAGAAGAACAAAGAACATGAACGAGAAGAACAAAGAACATGAACGAGAAGAACAAAGAACATGAACGAGAAGAACAAAGAACATGAACGTGAGGAACAAAGAACATGAACGTGAGGAACAAAGAACATGAACGAGAAGAACAAAGAACATGAACGAGAAGAACAAAGAACATGAACGAGAAGAACAAAGAACATCCTCCATGTCAGTTCGTAACGAAAAATATCGGAAAGACATCGACAGGAACTGTGGGTCCTAAAATGTAATCACTGATGCTATTGGGGTCAATGTGGCGGGAGCTGCGGGCCAGGAGGTGGGCCAGTGGGGCCGGGAGGTGGGCCAGTGGGGCCAGGAGGTGGGCCAGTGGGGCCGGGAGGTGGTCCAGTGGGCCGGGAGGTGGGCCAGTGGGGCCAGTGGGGCCGGGAGGTGGGCCAGTGGGGCCGGGAGGTGGGCCAGTGGGCCAGGAGGTGGGCCAGTGGGCCGAGAGGTGGGCCAGTGGGGCTGGGAGGTGGGTCAGCGGGGCCGGGAGGTGGGCCAGTGGGCCGGGAGGTGGGCCAGTGGGGCCGGGAGGTGGGCCAGTGGGCCGGGAGGTGGGCCAGTGGGGCCAGTGGGGCCTGGAGGTGGGCCAGTGGGGCCGGGAGGTGGGCCAGTGGGGCCGGGACGTGGGCCAGTGGGCCAGGAGGTGGGCCAGTGGGCCGGGAGGTGGGCCAGTGGGCCAGGAGGTGGGCCAGGAGCTGGGCCAGTGGGCCAGGAGGTGGGCCAGTGGGCCAGGAGGTGGGCAGTGGGCCAGGAGGTGGGCCAGTGGGCCGGGAGGTGGGCCAGTGGGCCGGGAGGTGGGCCAGTGGGCCAGGAGGTGGGCCAGTGGGGCCGGGAGGTGGGCCAGTGGGCCAGGAGGTGGGCCAGTGGGGCCGGGAGGTGCGCCAGTGGGCCGGGAGGTGGGCCAGTGGGCCGGGAGGTGGGCCAGTGGGCCGGGAGGTGGGCCAGTGGGCCGGGAGGTGGGCCAGTGGGCCGGGAGGTGGGCCAGTGGGGCCGGGAGGTGGGCCAGTGGGGCCGGGAGGTGGTCCAGTGGGCCGGGAGGTGGGCCAGTGGGCCGGGAGGTGGGCCAGTGGGCCGGGAGGTGGGCCAGTTGGGCCGGGAGGTGGGCCAGTGGGGCCGGGAGGTGGGCCAGTGGGGCCGGGAGGTGGTCCAGTGGGCCGGGAGGTGGGCCAGTGGGCCGGGAGGTGGACCAGTGGGCCGGGAGGTGGGCCAGTGGGGCTGGGAGGTGGGCCAGTGGGCCGGGAAGTGGGGCTGGGAGGTGGTCCAGTGGGCCAGGAGGTGGGCCAGTAGGCCAGGAGGTGGGCCAGTGGGGCCGGAGGTGGTCCAGCGGGGCCGGGAGGTGGGCCAGTGGGGCTGGGAGGTGGGCCAGTGGGCCGGGAGGTGGGCCGTGGGCCGGGAGGTGGGCCAGTGGGCCGGGAGGTGGGCCAGTGGGCCGGGAGGTGGGCCAGTGGGGCCGGAGGTGGGCCAGTGGGGCCGGGAGGTGGGCCAGTGGGGCCGGGAGGTGGGCCAGTGGGGCCGGGAGGTGGGCCAGTGGGCCGGGAGGTGGGCCAGTGGGGCCGGAGGTGGGCCAGCGGGGCCGGGAGGTGGGCCAGTGGGCCGGGAGGTGGGCCAGTTGGGCTGGGAGGTGGTCCAGTGGGCCTGGAGGTGGGCCAGTGGGGCCGGAGGTGGACCAGCGGGGCCGGGAGGTGGGCCAGTGGGGCTAGTACTCACCTAATTGTACTCACCTAATTGTGTTTGCGGGGGTTGAGCTCTGGTTCTTTGGCCCCGCCTCTCAACTGTCAATCAACAGGTGTACAGGTTCCTGAGCCTATTGGGCTCTATCATATCCACACTTGAAACTGTGCATGGAATCAGCCTCCACCACATCCCTGCTTAATGCATTCCATCTGTCAAATGGAATGCGTGTGTGTGTGTGTGTGAGTGCATGCGTGTGCGTGTGACCCCAGAGTGCGTGCCCCCGCACTCAGGGTTCGGCTTGTGTGAAAAAGAGTGCCGCTGTTATCTCCCACCTCGCCTCGGCACGTATAAATCAATAGCCCGATCAACCACTGAATAGTTTTCAAGTGAGAGAAACTCAAAATAAATCCTCCACTCCAACAGTAGATATATTCTGAGATTAGCGGAAATAGTAAGGATAAATACGGATGAGTGGTCGCTCTAATGGGCAGTAATGGGGAGCGGTAACTGGTTGGATAGTTTGATGAGATTAAGGACTGAAGTCAAGCAATTGTAGCTATACGTATGAGATAAGTTGACATTAATACTGTTATTGACGGTAATAACAACGGTGCTTGGCAGTGACAGTGCCTGGGAGTGACAGTGCCAGGCAGTGATAGTGCCAGGTAGTGATAGTGCCAGGCAGTGATAGTGCCTGGGAGTGACAGTGCCAAGCAGTGATAGTGCCAGGCAGTGACAGTGCCAGGCAGTGACAGTGTCAGGTAGTGACAGTGCCAAGCAGTGATAGTGCCAGGCAGTGACAGTGCCAGGCAGTGACAGTGTCAGGTAGTGACAGTGCCACTGCCTGTGGCACTGTCACTGTCTTACGAAACCTGTACATCATCTATCAATCGTAGCGGCTTTGTTTACATGTATTAAACACATCACGAGTTTGTTCACGTCACAACCCAGGGTTATACATTAGTGTATTCACCAATGTATAAGTTGTAGCCCTTAAATAGCTAATAAAAGCAAAACACAAAAGGAACACTGTGAAAGGATCCCTAACATTCTCTCTAATGTCTTGTGTGTGTGTGTGTGCCTTTCTCCGAGGCTACGAGGCCCTTTCTTTCAACCAAATGTGGGTCCTCCCTATATAATACAAAACTCTCTCTCTCTATATATATAGGGAGTACCACCTTATGTGTTGCATATATAGTGTATTTTTGTAGGTTTCCTGAAAATCTATTTTAATTTTATGTATAAATTTAATCTGTTAGCCTCATTACATCCTTGTGCCGGGTCCAGGAGCTTAAGCACGTGTCTTGAGCCCAACAGCCTGCCCTCCTTAACAATTGCCCAATTCCCGAGTATATATTCACAGCTAGGTGAACAGAGGCATGAGGTGCAATTGGTCCTCTTAGGCCTAGGCCCAGCAAATGACTTTCCCCAGGAAGCAAGCTATAAGACACGACTAACTCCCGAGTGCCTATTTACTGCTAGGTAAATAGATGCATCAGTTGCAAGAAGAGGTCCCTCAATGTCCTGACCAGCCCGTGCCACGGACCCGGGACCATTCCGCTGTGAGTATATCTCTTTCAAAATTCTTTCTAATGTCTCTGTGCCCACATGAGCCACAGGGACGTTAGAAGGAACTTTTTTAGTGTCAGAGTGGTTGACAAATGGAATGCATTAGGCAGTGATGTGGTGGAGGCTGACTCCATACACAGTTTCAAATGTAGATATGATAGAGCCCAATAGGCTCAGGAACCTGTACACCAGTTGATTGACGGTTGAGAGGCGGGACCAAAGAGCTAAAGCTCAATCCCCGCAAGCACAACGAGGTGAGAACACTTCCCTAATCACCCCCACCAATCATTCAACTCATGTCCCGTTTTCTATGTCGCTATCATTGTATTTATAACGCTAACGTAAGGGAAACTTTGAAAGATTTAGAAAAGGCAAAATCCCAGTACATATAATTTTTGTATTTCGACAGATTGTGGAAAAGAGTTTTACCAATCAATTAAGACAACTTTTTGTTTTTATATATAATTAGACGAGAGTTATAATCAAATTATCAGTAACTTAGTAAACGAAGTCATGTATCTTTTTTTGAGGGGGGGGGGGGGGGCCTGAACGTTCAAAGTTTGTGATTTTTTTAAGTGTTCTGGAAGAAGATGATGAATAGAGTTCATAGTGTGTCTTGGCTTGTCACTCAGTCTTCATGCAAACACACTGGACTTAGAAAAAATATATATCACAGAGGGCTTAACTTGGCACCCAAGTACACACACACACACACACACACACACACACACACACACACACACACACACACACACACACACACACACACACACACACACACACACACACACACACACATAGGTTCAGAGATGGTAAATCGTGCCTCACAGGGTTAATAGAATTCTATGACCAAGCAACACATATTAGGCAAGAAAGAGAAGGATGGGCAGATTGCATTTTTTTGGACTCTCAGAAAGCCTTTGACACAGTACCTCACAAAAGGCTGTTACAAAAGTTGGAGCAACAGGCAGGAGTGAAAGGTAAGGTGCACCAGTGGATAAGGAAGTATCCAAGCAACAGAAAACAGCGAGTAACTGTGAGGGGGGAGGCATCAGAGTGGCGAGATGTCACCAGCGGAGTCCCACAGGGCTCTGTACTTGGACCCAATCTATTTATAATATATTTAAATGATCTTCCTGAGGGTATAGACTCATCCCTCTTAATGTTTGCTGACGATACAAAAATTATGAGAAGAATCAAGACAGATGAAGATAGACAGAGACTACAGGACGACCTGGACAAACTGGAGGAATGGTCTAGAAAATGGCTGCTAAAGTTCAACTTAGGAAAGTGTAAAGTAATGAAATTAGGCGAAGGGAGCAGGAGGCTGAACACAAGGTACCATCTGGGAGGTGAAATCCTGCAAGAGTCAAATAGAAAGATCTGAGGGTTGACATCACACCGAACCTGTCCCCCAGAGGCCCACATCAGAAGGATATCATCAGCGGCATATGCTAGACTGGCCAACATAAGAACTGCCTTTAGAAACTTGAGTAAGGAATCGTTCAGAACCCTGTATACCACTTACGTAAGACCAATCCTGGAGTATGCAGCTCCAGCCTGGAATCCAAACCTAGTTAAACGCAAAACAAAGTTAGAGAAGATTCAGAGGTATGCCACCAGACTGGTCCCGGAACTGAGAGGTATGAGCTACGAGGAAAGGCTAAGGGAGCTGAACCTCACGTCCCTGGAAAACAGAAGAGTAAGGGGAGACATGATAACCACCTACACAATTCTCAGGGGAATTGACAGGGTGGACAAAGACAAACTCTTCAGCACGGGTAGAACACGAACAAAGGGACACAGGTGGAAACTGAGTACCCAGATTAGCCACAGAGACGTTAGAAAGAATTTTTCAGTGTCAGAGTAGTTAATAAATGGAATGCACTAGGAAGTGATGTGGTGGAGGCTGACTCCATACACAGTTTCAAATGTAGATATGATAGAGCCCAGTAGGCTCAGGTATATGTAAACCAGTTGATTAACAGTTGAGAGGCGGGACCAAAGAGCCAGAGCTCAATCCCCACAAGCACAACTAAGTGAGTACACACACCCGCACACACGCACACACACACACCCGCACACACGCACACCCGCACACACACACACCCGCACACACGCACACACACACACCCGCACACACGCACACACACACACCCGCACACACGCACACATCTATTGTGTGTGTGTAGATGAAGATAGGTGTTGAGAGCAGGAGGCTGGCTACAAGGTACCATTTGGGAGATGAAATTCTTCAAGAATTGGAGAGAGAAAGACCTGGGGGTTGATATCACGCCAGACCTGTCCCCTGAAGCCCACATCAAGCGGATAACATCAGCGGCATATGCCAGGTTGGCCAACATAAGAACGGCCTTTAGAAACTTGTGCTAGGAATCATTCAGAACACTGCGTACCACATACGTCAGACCAATCCTGGTCTGACGTATGTGGCCACAGAGACATTACAAAGAACCTTTTTAGTGTCAGAGTAGTAGACAAATGGAATGCATTAGGCAGTGATGTGGTGGAGGCTGACTCCATACACAGTTTCAAATGTAGATATGATAGAGCCCAGTAGGCTCAGGAATCTGTACATCAGTTGATTGGCGGTTGAGAGGCGGGACCAAAGAGCCAGAGCTCAACCCCCGCAAGCACAATTAGGTGAGTACACACACACACACACACACACACACACACACACACACACACACACACACACACACACACACACACACACACACACACACACACACACACACACACACACACACACACACACACACACACACACACACGCATAGAATGAGAGCGAAGCTGCTGGTCATGGGGGACCTAAATCACGAAGAGATAGATTGGGAAACGAGGAATCCCCATGGCGGGGAGGAGACCTGGGGAGCGAAGTTGGTAGACGTTATTGACAGGAATTTCCTAACACAGCATGTGAAAGAAGATACTAGGGAAAGAGGAGGGGATACGCCCAGCCTATTAGATCTCATTATCACTCAGAATGTAGAAGACATCGAGCAGTTGGAACATGAAATACCACTAGGAGCTAGTGACCATTGTGTCCTAGTCTTTGACTACATGATGGAGCTTAAATTGTGACCAAAGGACAAGAGGTCCGGGAAAGGAGACTTGATTACAGAAAAGGGGACTACAGAAGGATAAGGGACTACCTGGGAGAAGTGCAGTGGGAGGAAGAACTTAGAGGAAAAACAGTGCAAGGTATGATGAACCAAGTCATATTGAAATGCAAGGAGGCTGAAGATAGATTTATTCCAACATAAAGGAAAAAAGCAGGAGGAATATATTAACCCATGGTTTAATAGACAGTGTCAGGAAGCAAAGGTGAGAAGCAGGAGGGAG